CAGCGAGCGATTGTAACGAGATTGAATCGTTCGTGGTGCAATGAAATATATTCTGACATTATATGAATTGACGTGATGTCGCGAATTTTAGTATTTTAATTTTAAAATATTTTAATTAGATCCTTTTCCTTTTCGGATTCATCCGAGGGGTAAACCGCTGACCCAAACCACGCACGGAAAAAAAAAGATTTGCTATGACAATCAAAAACCCTGCTAGTCTAGCAAATTTACCGCCGTAATATACGGACAGCCAGTTTGCTATGTTGCAGTAATTAAATCGCAAAGCTGCATAGGATTAGTAATTATATCTAATAAAATTTGATGTTACAGCACGGTAGATTTGTTAGTAGAGCAAAGATGATTCTTTACTACAACCAATGGAAAAAATAGCTTGGTACATGTAACTAATTTTTTTGCTGTTACATAAAAGAAAATTAGGTGCATTAATAAATCCTATTATAGCAAAATTATTAGTTACGCCAACAATTAAAATTAGATAAAGTAATGCTCATTAAAACATTTACTCTGCAATTATTATTGTGGCGATCGCAATATGCGATACTTGCCCTGGCTTCCACGCCTCCCTTTATACCCTACGAGACTGAATTTTGATTCCGAGTTTTTGGCCGACACCATGCGCGGCCTAGCGGCGGTCGGCGAACTACTCAGAGGCTGGCGCTAGCTACGTCTCGCACTTAGCGAAAATGATTTGTTGCAGTAACTAAGATAATTTCAGCAAAAATCGATTTGTTTTATGAACAAAGTAACGATTACTCTTACACACGACTTCTTTGCTGCATTAGCAAATTTACTTCTTTAAAACGTTTAATTTTGTTCAGTAAACTATAGATTTGCTGAATCAACTAAAACAGTTTTTTCCGTGCGTACACCAAAGCCTACGAATGCCCAGTGGGCAAAACATACTTTATCTTACTTTATCTTTATAATGCCCAAACTAATGCCCAAAAAATACCTAATAATGCCCCAGTAATGCCGCAAATCTGTACACTACAATGTCCTCGGCGGATTCCCCCTCGGATTCGTCATTGCGTATGTTCAGCGTCGGTATTGTGACGAGTTTTTGGCCGAGAATATGTGAAATTCGACCTGCAGTATGCCGCGACGTGAAAGCGAAATTGTAGAATCGCGCACGAAGAATACCTCTCACACATCTTTTCTCGCGTAAGTAATTACTTCTCTTCTTTAGGATGGTAGCGGAAGTAGGCGAAGTTCGATCGTAACGAATTTTACGTCCGCCTATATACCGCTTTTTATCGTCTCGCGTCCTATGGCCGAGGCCGCGTTGATGTTAAGGCTCTAAATAAGGGCGTCCTTAGGAACCCTAAAAAAAATCCCCAGCGGTACCTTTTTTTCTGCATCCCCTATGCCTTCTCCCTTCTTTTCCTGTTTTACTCCCGCCGCCCCCGAGAAAATCGTCTCCTCGGCACAATGTACATAAAATGAAGTCAAGCGGTTTTAGCACCGAATACGTCTCCTTCTCCTTTTCCTTTCTTTACCCCAGGAGCGATAAAGTTGAATTCACGATCCTCCACGCCGATAGAAATCATTTAGGACTTTTAATTTGATCGAGAGAGAGAGAGAGAGCGAAATATCTCCCCGTCAAAGCTCTTTCGTCGTAAGCGATATTCCGGCGATTTTATTAAAATATTTTTAAGTCGTGGTTGATAAACTTCCATCGTAGGTGGGCCACTCGATCGCCACGTTTATTTTTCATCAGTTAGAGGAAAAGTTAAGATTTAATTTGGAAACTGCTTGATGTAAGATTATATAAAATGTTGCAATTTCACGTTCCTCGTCAGTGAGCTTTCATCGAGTAATCCTCTTTCGAGAATCTCGTTATATTGCATTCGATGAAAGGCTGGGCCAAGTAATAAGGGGGAAGATATGGTCTCGCTGCCTCGCTAACATCAGTTCTTTATTATTTTGCACTGTCGAGCGTGCGGCGGCGCTAAGGTGGATTTTTCCATTTATTTGTATCGTCCCGCATTATTGAATTCCGATAATCCGCGACGCCGCCGGTGTAAGTCCCTTTACAGTACACCGCGATTTACGATCCACCGCCCCTGTCGTTTCCCGGCGCCTCTCCCTCTCTTTCATTTTTAGGCTTGTCGAAATTATCGTAGTTCGTTCGCCTTTCGCCGCTGTGTCGTCAGAACATCAGATCCTCTTTAGAATTAAATATTCTTCTTTCTAGCTTCGAGTGCCGAAAATATTTTAACATTGGTAGATTACGGGTAGAAAGGGGCGCTGATGAATTTTATTAAGGTTAGGGAAAATTAAAGATAAAACGTTAGAATAAATATAAACAGTACAAATCGCGATTATGTCAACGGGGATGAAAAAAGAGGTATCAAACATAATTACGTCGAAAGCAATTTTTGTGGCTCGCGCAAAGTATTTCGTGCTCGCCCCAGCGCCCGACAGGCTTACGAGTCGCAATAAAATTCTAGGAAGTGTATTGTATCAGCGTTGCGCAATCTTGGGTCCTAATCGAAGTTGTAAAATCCAAGTGTTCCTCCTCAATCACGGGCCCGGGTCGTACATCGCGCGGCAATGCGAGCGACTCGTACGCTCGCGACGTACCAATTCAATTTATTTCTTCGACATTGGCGTTGAGTCCTCACGGCGAGATGGATGGACGGATAAATGGATGTACGTGGCTTGTATGGGTCTCTTGAGCATCCGAGAATGCGTCAAGGACACCTACTCTCTTTCTCTCTCCTTACTCGAATCCACGAATACGTTGGTCGGAAGAGCCGCGCTATTTTTCTCCTTTCTCCCTCGTGTCTCTTTTCTCTTTCGTTTATTCCCTCATTCCCGCATTTTCTTTCCCTGCCTCTCCACTCGTGCCCCTCGGTCACTCCAAGTACTCGAAAACCTCTCCGCGCAGTCTGGAAATATACTTTCATCTTCGAGGAATCTTGCGGATGAACGGGGCGTCACGTATCGACGAGAACAAAGCCAAGTTACTGGGCCTCTGAAATAAATAAGGGAGATATGAAAAATTCACCTCAGTCTGGGCATTTACGTATTGTAAAAGGATAAATGAGACAAGTCTGCCAATAATCGGTAATTTAGTTTCCTTAATGCTGCCGCTACGTACATTTGGAATAATCGTGTTTTCTTTATCAATTACAAAAGCGACCTAATAACGTTATTATAATGGCATGAAGGTCCACGCCACCGCTTCTCTATTCTGCAAACATCCCTTCGGCGTCCATTCTATTTTTTTTCTCCTTGTGGTAACAAAGCAGGAAGGCCGGTTATTTACTATGGTTATAAATGTCGTCTACTGGCGACGGTTTTTCCACCGTCGGCAGCGAAGTCGCCTGTTTCCGTTTCCTTCGTCGCCGTTTCGCTAGTCCTTTCGACGCTACTTTTCAATTTTTCTTCCTATTGCAGCTTCTCTGGCTGCGGAGCGCGCACTTCCTTTCGCCGCCGTTTCACCCTCCTCTTCAGTTCGTTATTAAAACCTTTAATTCTTTACTGCGGTACAAACGTCACCGGCTTTTTCATTTCAGCTCCGGCCCGGGAGGAGTCTGCTTCAACAGACTTTTCTAAGACACTATTAAGATCCACTGATTCAGATTTCTTACAAGTACCTCGTTGCGCTCCCCGCTGCCCTTTTCTTCTCTCGCTTATGAGAACCTTCAGCCAGCGCGTTTTCCGAAACTTTCACCCAGGTTTCCGTCTCGCGGCTGCTCCACGCTTCTTCGTCCCGAATCCTTGATCCAGGCGAAACGCGTTACGTCCCTGCATCCTTTCTCCGTCCAGTCGCCCTTCTCGCTCGCCGCGAAAATCTTTACGGCGTTTCGCAGCCACCGCCTTCGCAGTTTATCCGCTATCGAGACCCGCGCTGCATCCTTCGAATCTTCCACCCTCGCCGTCGCTTTTGGTCTTTTTACGGCAGCGGTATCAAGGGCCCCGCGTACTTTTCTCCCCCCCGGGGGCTACGGCGAGCGTCTCACGGAAACTGGTTTAACGAGCAGGGCGGGCACGAATGAGACGAGCTTTGTTGATGTCGCCGACGTTATTACTTCGCGCGCGTATAAGAGTTGCCGGATGGGGAATTCTGCATTCAAATTATCGTCGCTCTCGCAAGTAGACGGGAAACGAGATCGAACGAAGGGATAGGACATCGTTATCGACTAACGTTTCCGCTCAAAGTAGCCTCGAGTCTTCTACCTGGCATAACACCAGGCGATATTTCAAGTCTTCGAGCTTAAACTTGTAATTAGTTTGAGTAAAAAAATTTATTCCTCTTTTCAGTGTTTCCTTTTCATTATTATTATTTTCCCCGAGGATTGCGGAGAAGGAGAAATTCGCGAATTAACACGAGCACGGGCAATCTCTCTTCTATTTGTATTTATATATACAGGGTGTACTAAAACCACTGGATATCCTTTTAAACATAAATTCTTTAGAAAAGTTCAAGACGAAAATTCCAATACAAAAATGTCGAGGCTATAATAGTTTTTAAATAATAAGCGATTGTATCTCACACAAATGACAGGCCTGAGATTTCGCGCGCTCAGGTACGGCGACATGACAAGTGATAAAAGTGTTTCCATGAACGTCGCCCTTTTCAGCATAGTAACAACCTTCATGGAAACTGCTATTGAACGACCACTTTGACAGCTGCAAACACTTGGAAGTTACAAAACGTTCCAAATTTTTACTTGAATTAAATGAAAAGGGGCGGCATTCGTAGGAACACTTTTATCACTCGTCATGTCGCCGTACCTGAGCGCGCGGAATCTCAGGCCCTGCCATTTGTGAAATATAATCGCTCGTTATTTAAAAACTATTATAGCCTCGGCGTTTTTGCATTAGAATTTTTCTCATGAAATTTTCTAAAGAATCTGCGATTGAAAGGATATTCGGTGGCTTTAGTACGCCCTATATATGTTACTTATACGTTTATACAACACGATTGCGTACGCAACGTAACGATGTGTTTGTTAACGATTTGCTTTCAGATGGAAGACGAGGGTAATCACGGCAACGACGACACGAGATGCTTCATCCTATCGACATTGGCCGCTCTGCAGTGGTCTCGAGTTACGTGCGTCCTTTGTCGCGCGGCTATGCTGGTTTTCGACAGGTACCCCCTGGTGGACGGTACATTCTTCTTGTCACCCAGACAGCACTCGTCTGCCTGCGCCGAGGTACGTTTCTCATTATCGAAAATGTTACAAATATTTTGTGAGCGCTGACTTTCTCGTTGAAGGAATAAACATCTAATTGAGCAATATGAAACTTTTGACGGGTTTAGCTGTTTATTGAGAGATTAAGGCCCGGTTTCACCAACGTTGTTTAACTTTAGGCTTGGCTTCGTTCTTTGTCTCTTTCCATCTGTTGCTTTAGAAGGAGACAAACTTGAATTAAACTAAGATTAAAGTTAAGCGACGTTTGGTGAAACCGGGCCTGAGCTACCTCGACTCAATTAAAATAAGAAGACTTCGTCGATATGTAATTTGATAGATCTCATCCTATCGTGAAATGCTCGGTGAAGACCTCACCATAAGCCTCTTGATAAGCCGAGTACCAAGTATTCCCAGTGTCTGTGACGTGTGCAAATGATTTCTGCACGTTGATTAACACAATTTGATTACAAGTCGATTACTTGAAGAACGTGACGAAATGCCGTAAATCATAGTATACTTGCTATCGCATTTTTCGCGACCTCGCGACCCTACCGCGATACCGCTTTCGCCAGATTCCCACTAGCACGTTCGGTTTTTCGGTGTTTCATTCCAGGTGAAGGTCGAAGGTCGCACGCAGTTCTTGTCAGCCGTGTGCATGAGTTGTTTGGAGGGCAGCGGCGGGCAGCCTGTACGCTGCCGTTTCTGTACCCAACCGTGGGATGGCTCGAGCTTGGTCCTCGGTACCATGTACAGCTACGATATTTTCGCCGCCATGCCCTGCTGCAGCGAGCGACTGAAGGTAAGCTCCGAATTCGTGACCGGTCGACCTCAATCCGAGCGAACTTTGACCCTTTAACGCACGAGCGTTGATACATCAGCACTCGAGTGTAGATGACTTTGAAAAACTTGAACGCCATGATAGAAGACTCGAGTCATCTTTCTCGTTTGCATTTACGTTTATTTATCTCTCTCGGTTTGGCGTTGTTGGATACGACGGTACCTTTTTCGCCGTTGTTAACCGATGGTCCGAAGAAACGACTATTGAAACGGACTTGTATAGTTTGCAACACGTGGCGAATTAGATGCTGCATGCACACGTTCTATCGCGCCGATTCGTCATGCCCCGCCCGCAGCGAAGGGAAACACCTTCACGAAATGAACGCACCGTCGTTCCGTTTTCGTTCCAGTGCAACAGCTGCCAGAAACCCCTGATCTACCCCCATCAGCGACTGAACTTCTACTCGGACTACAGCCGCGTCTTCGGCTGCCCGCACTGCAGGGCGGTCGACGCCCACTTCGTGAAGCCGCTCTCGGCCTGCTTCACCCGCGAGCAGTTTCAGCTCTACAGCCAGTGGCCGTAACCATTAGAGAACTTAGCGAACCGCCGCCGTACGCGCACGAACGCGGCCGACTTGTGTCCTCTCTTTTACAAGTCGATCTCCCTGTTCCGGACGACCGTGCTCTAGAATCCTCCCCTCGCGACCTGTAGGAGACACTTGACGATGGCGAACGCGCACGGGGGCCGCGATCCTTCCTGGCGCGTGTTGTCGGCCGGATCCACCGATGTATTAATTCCTCGCCAGACGCTTTTATTTCGGTCGACAGCTGCTCTTATTTGTTCGTAATTCCCTAAGAATCGTTTTTTCTTTTCTTAACAATCAGCAGACTTCTGTGCGACGACGATGCGCGCGAGCCCCTTGGCGCATTCCCGTAGTACTAATAAAAATTAAGATGTTTCTTTTTAACGTCGATTGTAGATTTGTTTGTCTAGGTTGAACATAAGCGGGAGACGTCGAGTTATGCGCGCGAGGCAAAATTGGTGTACTTCATTTTCCCCCCCGCGTAACGTTGCTCTTTAAGTTTCTTAAGGCATTTATTCGTGCGTTTTGTGGGAGAAGAGACGGCAATTAATCTTTTTATTAGTATGCATTGCTTTAACGATTGTCATTACGGACGTGTCTCTCTGATATAGATGATTGTTGAAAACTAGCGCTACGTTTTCGTTGCAAAAATCTGTACGTTTCATCGTTTGTGCATACAACTTTTTACTACCGAACTGAATCATCTATCTCAGACGATTTCAGAAACTTCTCGGATGACAAGCGATAGCTTCGCCGTCTCCCGTTTCACAATATATAGTGGAATTGCTTTAAAGAAAAATAAAGTACATGAAATAAATTTAGGCGGAGATAAACGATATTAGACACGGAGAGAAAGGTCGATTCCCTTCATTGTAAACGTGTATAAAGAAAAGATGAAAAAAAAAGGCTACTCTCTAGGAAAGATTGGGAGGGGAAGAAAGAAGAAATAACTATCGTTTGTTACTTAGATAATCGAGAACACGTTGTTTTTTTTACATTTTATTAGTTTATACGTTTATGGCGGCCATGTTGATTTTGTTTAAGGATCTACGACTCATTCGATGGGTTTTCAGCGTTGATTCGGTCGGGCGCGCGTCGCGACTTTCCGCGATTTCGGGACAGGAGCGTCGCTGCCGAGGGACGGGCGAAATTCGCGCCGGTCGTAGAGGCAAGAGCAAAACTCTCATCGGAAGAAAATACCAATCGTTTGGGACTACCGCTCGCGCTGTGTACGCGCGGTCGTTTTTTTCGTCTGGACGAAAGTGCACGGCTCTCTCGTTCCTCTGATCCCGTCGTCGCTCGCTCGAGTGTGGGACGATTCTCGCGGAAAGTCATGATCGTCCGAGGTAGCCAGTGTATATAACGTATTAAGTGGGAGAGAATCAAGTGTGTTTGGAGAGGAAGAGAACCTCCTTTTTTTTCTGGCGATGCTGGTCGTTGCTGTCCACCAATAGCGGCCGTCCCACAAACAGACCGCCCACCGTTCTCAAGGTAGTATAGTCGATCGTGTACCTTTTTTACGTTACTTCGATTTTTTTTAAAAAAAAGTATACTTAATCCGCACGTCGGGAGGTATATTTAGGAGATAATATAATGCCCCGGGTGTGTTTGCGCGTATGTGTGTGCGAAACGTAACGCGATGGGGATCGCGAAGCTGCGCGGCTACTACTACTTCACGCCTTCACGCAGCGGTTCTGTTTTCGCTCATCTTTATTGGCCGTGTGTCCGATAGAAGCGAAAGGTGTCGTTTTGTTTGCACGTAAAATTGACGACGGTATGCGTTTCTTTTACACGAGCAATGCATGTTTTTTTTTAACAACGTATACTATGTGAAAAACTCAAGAAAAAGGTTTCAATTTTATTTCGCTGCCCGGTGTTATCGATTCGAGATGCACGAAAGTAACGCATTAATTGCAATCTTTCAAAAATATTTTTTAAGAATTTGAATTTTCTATGTTTTCGTATGTAATATCTTTCTGCAAAAAAAGCTCTGCAAAAAAGATACTGTCGTGAGAGAGAGAGAGACAAGAAGAGGAGTGACGTTAATTTAATTGCTTAATAGGCGCAAACCTTTCTTTTAGCGAGGCCCTGCGCTCCTCACAAAAGTCGCGGGAGTCGCATTATACAGGGTGAGTCTTTCCATATCCGACAAAATTTTTGAGAAGGTAGAACGGATCGAGATGAACGGAAAAGTCCTGTACCATTTTGCAATTTTCGTAATAGTTAACGAGTAATTAATTATGAAAAATCGTTGTCTTAGGCCGGCCTACCGCCCAATTCGAGCGCGTGGCGAGATGTGCGCATAGCAATATCGATCGCCGGGCGGTCACATCTTGCCACGCGCTCAAATTGGGCGGTAGGCC